GAGATTATCACCCAATCAGTGTTCCTTGAGAGAAACAACACAGCTGATGACCACGATCAAGATATCTAAAGAATGATTATAGGTATGTTCAAGGAATTCAAAGAAATGCCTAAATGACAATTGTACAGTTTTAACATTTGAATGAAATAATTAAAACAGTTCATTATAGAATTCAATAAGGAGATAGAATCTCTGAAGAAAAGTTAAACTGAAATGAAATTTAAATGGAAGAACTCATGAAGTGAAATAAAAATACAGAGGATAGCCTCACACAATAAACTGGTTCAAGCAGAAGAGAATCTCAGTGATCAGTGTCTAAGATAAGGCAGAGAAGTGGATCACATAGTAAATCTAAAAATGTACAAGAAGAACCAAAACTACAATGACTCTGGAAGAAGAAATTTATGGATCATACGTATAGAAGATAAAAAGCGACACAGGTCAAAGATGCAGAAAATATTTTCAATAAAATCATAGAAAAAAAAGATATCTCAGCTCAGAAAAAAGAGATTCCTATCTTGGTTTAAGAGAAATAAAGAACGCAAATAGTTAAGACATGAAAAAAATGGGGGTTTGGTGGTTAAGAGAATGCCTTACTCTTGCAAAGGACTGGAGTTCAATTCTAGCACCTACATGGTGTCTTATAACCACCTATAACTCCAGTTCCAGAGGATCTGTGGTCTTCTTCTGACCTCCTAAGGTACCATGCCTGCTGTATACATACATGCACACAGACAAAATATGAAAAAAATTCATGTGCTAAAATAAAATTTAAAGGCAGAAAGAAATACCACCAACAAAACGCAGCTAAATTTACAGAACACTGACTACAAAGGCTATTGAAAGTGAGATGAGAGCCACATCAGAAATAAAAAAGAAATAAAGAAATAATGACAGGCTCATCAGAATAACCCTTGACTTCTCAATGGAGACTGTCAAAGCCAGAAGGGTCTCTTACAGGGTTTGAAAGATCAAAGATAAGAGACAAACTATCAGTCATAATTAATGGATAGGAAAATTTCTTATGATAATTTGATTTAAGGACTTTATATCCATTAAGCCAGCTCCATGGAGGGTACTAAAAAGAATACTCCTGACTGAAGAGATTAAATGTACCCAAGAGGGCACAAAAAATTAAACAATTCAGACCAGTTGATCAAAAATGGTCTATCAATTCTACCACAACTAGGTAACAGTAATTAATAAACATTTTTCAGCAATAACTCCCAATAGTAATGATCTCAATTCCTCAATAAGAAGACACGGACTAGCAGATTAGATGAGAAAACAGGATCCATCTTCGTGGTGGGAAACACATCTCACTATTATGAACAGATATTACTTTTCAAAATTCATCTTTGTGACGGGAAACATACCTTACCATTATGAACAGATATGACTTTAGAGGATTCATCTTCATGATGGGAAACATACCTTATCATTATGATCAGATATTACTTTAGGCCAAAAAGGATTTTTGAAAAGTATTCCAAGCAAATAGAATAAAGAAGCAAGCTGGTATGACCTAATATCTGAGAAAATAGACTTTTAACTTAAAGCTCAGTAAAAAGAGATAGGGAAAATGATAGGATATTCACACTCAATAAAGGACAAGTCTACCAAAGGGATGTTACAATGCTAAACATTTATGAACCAAACACAGGGGTACCTAATTTCCTAAAATAAACATTATTAGATCTAAAACCACAATTAAGACCAGTACAGTGGTAAGTGAATGACTTCATGACACCACTTTCACCTGTGTCGTTGAGTAGATAGTTCCCCCAGACAAAAACAAAGACACTTTTGAGTTAAAATGCATCATAAATTAAACGGAGCTAACAGATACTTATAGACTACTTCACCAAAACACGAAAGAATACACACCTTCTCAGAAGTTGACAGGATTTTCTCCAAAATCAACCATGTATTAGGGTATAAATCCAAACTTAACAATGTTTAAAAACTTGAAATAATATTCTGTATTCCATCTGACTACAAAAGAATAAAGCTGGATATTAATAATAGAAATGGCAATAACTAGACAGACTCATGGAAACAAAACAACAAAACAGTGAATGAAAAGTTGAGTAAGAGAGAAATTTAAAAGGAAAAATTTAAGTTGCTAGAAGTGGATGAAAATGAAAGTACAGCATACCAAAACCCATGGAACACAATAGAGGCCTTCCTAAGAGGCCTGTTTTTAGAATTATGTGTCTGCATCAAAAAAAAAAAAAAAAAAAAAAGATCTCATATTAACAACTTAAGAATGCATTTGAATATTGCAGAATATTTGTTTACACTCTGTCTGGTTTAATAAAGAACTAAGCTGCCAATAGCTAGGGAGGAGAAAATAGGTGGGAATTCCGGGTAGAGAGGAACTTGGAATGAATCTAGGTAAGTGAGAGATGCCAGTGAGACACTGAAGAAGTTGGATATATGGTACATAGGAAAGGTGATGGAGCCACATGGCAGATTGTAGATTAATAAAGACAAGTCAATTTGAGTTTTAAGAGATGATTGGGAACAAGTCCAAGCAAGGCCAAGCTTTCCTAAGTAATAAGTCTCTGTGCCATTATTTGTGAGCTGGGTAGCCCAAAGGAAAGTCCCGCCAAACTAAAGCAAAATCCCAAAACAGTAGAGGAGATGGGATAATCAAAATCAGAGCTGAAATCAATGAAATAGAAATGAAAAAGAAAATACAATCAATAAAATGAAGAGTTGATTCTTTGAAAAGACTAACAAGACTGACATATCTTTAGTTTAATTGACCACAAAAAAATCAAAATTAATAAAATCAGACATTAAAATTGAAGGATTACAACAGATACTGAGGAAATTCAGAGGTTCATTAAGGACATATTAACAACCTACACTCAGTTAAACTGTAACATCTAAAGGAAACAGCTGATTTCTAGTTATATATGACCTACCAAAATGAAATAAAGATGATACATAATTTAAATATACCCACAATATTCAGTAAGATAGGAACAGTAACTAAAATCTCCTGATTACAAAAATCACATGACCCTATGGTACAATACAGAATTCTACAAGAACTAAATCAATTCTCCTCAAATTATTATGTAAAATTGAAAGAAAGGAAGGCTTTAAGGTTTTTTGTGTGTGTGTGTGAAGTCACTATTATCATAATCCTGGAGTATCTAGGAATATGGAGGACAATTCTCTACATATTAAATGTAACATAAATGTAGCAAGTCCACAACTAATTAATGCTAATCAAAGAAAAGCTCAAAGCATTTCCACTAAAATCAGGAATAAGACAAGGACATACAGACTCTCCATTCCTCTACATGATAATATAATCTGTCTAGGTTTAAAGGTCGAGTCAGTGGGAGCTCTTGGAAGATTCCGGAGTGACTGGGGGGTGGGCAGTAAGGAAAAACAAAGGGACCACTGTAAATGTTTCAGCTTGAGTTTGGAATGGAGCTGACATAAAGACTGCTCAAAACAGCTGCAGCCAATGGTGTAGCATTACATACTAACGATGACTATGGGCCCTGTCACAATCTCAGGGAGTCGGCTGGCCGGCCCACCTGCCTGATAGGGTCCAAAGAAGAGGCAGTGTTGACCCAAGAGGCAGACCTAGGCAAGTTAGGAATTGGGAAAGGGGTGAACCCTAATGTCTCTATATTCTTGCTATATTCTTATGAGCAAACCCACACCACCAGGCCATGGTTTGTCAGCTGCTCCCTGGGGTTCAGAAGTGACTTTCACAGCAGCCTTGCAGGGCCAGTTCTTGGCCTTGCGGTTACCAATTAGGAGAGAAATGAGCTTGTAATAGCTCCTGCTGATTGCCTCTCACAGAAACAGTGGGAGCTCTGCCCTGCAGCCAGCAGGGAGGCAGCAGAACGAGGAGGGCCAACAGCTTCTGTGAATGGAGAGAGCCAATTACGGTTTTGAGAGGCAAAGGTAGATTTATTTCTATCTGCATGAGAAAGCGCGCCACCTTAGGAGTAGGTATAATGGAGGAATTGTTTTAGGTAGAGACCTAGCAACTTAATTCCCTTGAAGTATTAAAGCAATTCTTGAATAATTCCGCAAGACATCAAGAAAATTAAAAGGTATTTTACCAGCAGTGCAGTTCATTGTGGCCCTCAGTGATTTGTTTCTGTTGAGGATGTACAATGAGTTACCCGCTTCTTCTAACAACTGGGGGAAACTTACCTCCATTTTCCATAGACAGTTTCTAGCTGATGTTCAATATGTTAATATCTTTATAAGCTAAATGGTGACTTTCTTAAGGTAATACATGCAAGTATGCCTCCCAAGACAACAGAGCGATGCTCTCATTGCAAAATATCAATAGCAAGTCAGGACTTACTTGCTCACCACACACACACACACACACACACACACACACACTCATGCACGTGCACCCCACACACACATACACACACTCACACACACATACACACACGCACAAGCACACAACCAGTCATTTAATAAGCTACATGTAATGTACTTAACCCTGAGGATATCCCCAGCGAGCAGAAATACAAAGTAGAATTTTAGTAAATTTAATTAATATATTAATATTAGCAATATTAATATATTAGCTGGCAAATATGTTAGCCCTTTTTTTCTGTTTTAATACAATGGAGGCTGGGTAGTTTATCACGAGATTTATTTAGGTGACAGTTGTGGAGGTTGCCAGGCTCTGGTGAGGCCCTCTTGGTGGCATCATAACATGGCAGATGGTGGGAGTACTTTTAGCATGCAAGAGTCAGACTCCGGGTCCGGGTTTTCTTTGCTGTTGCTCTGGAACGGGTTAGGTTTTTTTTTTTTTTTATTTTCCTTCTAATTTTATTTCTTAATTTATTTACTTTATAGAGGGATTTCTCCATTGTTGGCTTCGGCACCAATTAACTGAACTCCACTACTCACTGATGACACAGGAAAGGCTCCGGAATGGCTTTCCAGGTGCCAAGAGTTCCCCTCTCAAGGCGACAGTGGAGAAAGCCTTAGCTTGTAGCCTACTGAATGCAGCAGTGCGCCGGGGAATCCTTGAAGCGCGACCGCGACCTGTTCCGCGTCTTGGGTCGGTACTGCCCCAAGAAAAGCAGCTGTTTGGTGTTGAACGCGCCCCTTCGTTTTTGTCGGATAAATTGAACCGCTTCGTTATTCTTCATTCCACATTCTATCAAAGCGAGCGCCACCAGCACGGGAGCCCTTCCTAGCCCTGCCACACAGTGCACGGCCACACAGGAACCTGGCTCCTCACGAAATTTGGTTTTTAACAGGTTCAGCCAATCATCCACTAAGTCATCAGGGGGTGGGGCTCCGTCAGGGTAGGGCAGGTCTAGAACGCGGATGCCACAGTTTTCCACTAGAGCTTTATCGTAGGTGGCGTCGCAAACTCTGACCAAGGTTGTCACTCCGTGGCTCTTCAGTTCCTCTGTGAACTTGGGCAGCATGGCGATGGTGGGGTTGTGAGTTATCAGGAAACGCATGTTGTCGTAGCCGATCTCCACTGGCGCTGGATGGTTCATTCCGGCAAACGAGAGTGCCCGCGTGGGTGATGGGAAAGCGAAAACATTAAGATCATCGAAAGGACTACTTTTGTTCTTTTGCTTTATTCGGTTTGTTTACTCTGTATGCGGCTTCTCCAAAATGGGGCAGAAGTATTTAAAATTCATTCGAATTCAACCTGGGCCTCAACGTCTGCAGATGGATTCCTTGAGACTTCAGAAACATCCAGCTACGTGCCGAACTCATCTATCCCGCCTACATTTAGACACTAGAGAGACAACAGTGGTGGTTGTCTTCGACCTTTGTTTTACCCGAAGCTTGATTTTACCAGAGTCATTAAAGGAAATATACTTGCAGTAACTTTTAAGGACCGCCTCGGTGTCCAGGTGTCCAGAGTCTTCAAGGCGCAGGTGATTGAACACGGGCACATGGAGGCCCCAAGGTCACTTGCCAGGGAAATTGCTGTGCTGAGCCTGGCAGAAATTGACACTCAAATTCGGAATCGCCATAAATGTGGAATGTGTTTTCCACCAAAGTCCTGCGGTGATTGAGGAGCTGCGGTCTTCCTGCCAGCCTATGCCTTACACATCCCGCCAGGCCCGCTGGCGGCACGTGACCCTGCAATCATCCTGCCTCCCCGGCTGCTGCTCTGTCTCTGCCACCACCACGCGGATGCCGAGAGGGCCTCGCCTTGCTCTGAGCTGAACAAAGACCCCCTACCCCAGCACTTAGCCATGGACCCTGCACCCTAGCCAATCGGACCACTGCCACCCCGCTAGAAATTTCTTATGTTTTGCTTACAAAACAATGAGTTTCGTTATGACGTCTTCATCCACATATATCAGCTCATAGCTGCTGTCTGCTTCTCTTTGTCCCTCTCCCGCCCTTTCTCCTCCTCTGCCTTCTCTCAAACAGTCCTCCTCCCGTTTTCATGCCCTCCAGCTATGAGCCGAAATACATATATTTAAAATCTATATTTTGGCTTATGATGAAAAATCGGATACTAAGATTTTTAATCTGGTTGATTTAGCTCACTGCGGTCCCTAGTTCCAGCCATATTCCGGCAAAACTCAGTTTTCATCTTTATCACTAAATGACTTCCTTCAGGGGTATGTATACCACGGTTCCTTGATTCATCACGTAGTGACAGACCTCTAAACTGGTTCTGTATGGCGGCTGTTAGGAGTAGAAGGTGGCAAGCAGACATGCAAGTATCTCAGAGGTGGGTAGCACCAAAGAGCTCTTCATCGGCTACACCAGCAGTGAGTAAGGACCGCTCTTGAATATCCTGACCAGCATGCCTTTTGTTCTCTTGCTGCTAGCCCTCTCCCTGGCTTACATGACCACTGGCATTCTCCAGAAGGCTGATAATGCCAGACATTTTTTTTTAAATTTTATTTTAAATGCTTATTGGCCATGGCATTCCAGGCAGAAGTCTCCAGCTCTTTAGTCTATGAAAGGATGATTTGGGACTTTGGGTGTTTGGGTTTCAGAGGTCTTCATCTGACATCATCAGCCCCTGTCAGGAGATTGTTGGCAAAGAACTCCCCCTGTTCTTCTATCTCCATTGCTGTGCAAAATCTTTTAAATTTCATGTGTTCCCATTTATCAAAATTTCCCAATTATTTTTTGAGCTCTTTTCTGAAATCTTTCGCCAGTGCCTATTTTTTGGAAGTGTTTCTCTTGTTTCTCCCCCGGCAGTTCCAAAGTTTCAGGACCTACATTAAAGTCTTTGAAATATTTTGAATTTTTTTTTTTGTCCAGTGTGAATCCTATGTCCACTCTTCTTCACATGGATATCTAATTTTCCCAGGACAATACCTAGAAGAGGTGGTCATTTCTCCAAGGGGCTATAGAGATGTGGGTTTATTTCCGGTTCTCTGTTCTATTTTACAAGTCTGTTTGGGGGTCAGTACCATTTCTATTTGTTACTGAGGCACTGTAGCAGAATTCAGGATTGTTCATTGTATACTTAGAGCATTGCTCATTTGGCTAAGGATTGTTTGAGATGTTCAGGGTCTTGTATATTGTTGTAAGAATTTTTTTCTATTTCTGTGAAATTTTGATGAGGACTGCAATAAATGGGTAAAAAGCTTTCACTGTTTCATCCACTTTCATTGTATTAATTTTGCCAATCCATGAATATAGGAGGTCTCTCCAACTTTGGATATTGTATTTGATTTCTTTCTTTAGTCTTTGGAAAATTTTCCTTGTAGAAAACTTTCACCTCCTTTGGGGGTTAATTATTGGTGGTGGTGGTGGTGGTGTGTGTCTCTGTGTGTTGTTTTGTTTTTTAAAGAGCTATTATACAACATGGTGGCTCACAACCATCTGTAATTTTGAATTTTTTTCAATGAGATCTGATGCCCTCTTCTGGTGTGCAGGAAAACATGCTGTATATAACCAATAAATAAATTTTTTTTTTTTTTTTTTTTTTGGTTTTTCGAGACAGGGTTTCTCTGTGGCTTTGGAGCCTGTCCTGGAACTAGCTCTCTAGACCAGGCTGGTCTCGAACTCAATAAATAAATCTTAAAAAAAAAGAGCTATTATACATAGAATTTTTTCTTCTTTCTTTACATGTTTACAATTACAAGTGTATAGGTAAAGTGCTGATTTTAGACATTGATTTTTTTTTTATGTTTGTCAGGTCTAAGAGCTTTGTGGTAGACTCTTTAGAATCCTTTAAATGTAGGACTATGCCGTACACAAATAGAGATAGTTTGACTACTTCCTTTCCTTTCAGTTGCCCTTACAAGATCAAGCACCAGCTGTTTCCTACCTCCTCCTCTGTCCAAAAGAGCCGAGATCCTCTCTCATCTCTGCCTTACCTGTCTTCTCTGTCTGTGGTCCTTCAAACCTCTGTGATCAGCCAGTGGCTAGTTCTGCCCTCTGACTCCAAGCAAGCTTTATTTGTCAGAACACAATTAAAATAACACACAACAACTGACGACCTCTCGACTTCCAAACAGAGTCACTGTATTCTACTTTCTTCTACAATAAGCTCCCTTCTCTGCTCCCAAATGCAGGACAAACTTTTTATGTCCATGGTTCTGCAACCAGATGACAGATCAGGAATGCCAAAGAGACCCTTTGCCTCCCCACACATGCCCATTCTGTTTAAATGAAGTTGTAGAAAAAAAAAGCCATTTCATCCCTTGTTATTGATTTGACCTTACTGATCTGCCAGGATAAATATACAGACAAAAAGGCCAAATACAAGTTTAAACATCTCCCACCTTTTAAAAATCAGCCCCTGAGTGCTTGGAGCTGGCATACCCACCCAGTGACCTGTGATATCTCCTCCTAAAAATCCATGGTGCCTCAATCTGACCGGACAGTCTTAATAAGGATTAAGAGACAAACTACAAAGCCTACTACTTAACAAGATAGTGAGATGCCCACTTCTTATATATTCAAATAAGACCCCACACAAATGTCACACATGAAAAGACTAAGAAACTTCTCTTAACTGTCACGAAAAGTGCTCACTCCTTTTCAAGACTCTGATGCTCTGAGAATTCATCCTATCTTTCTTGTAACATAGATATTCGTCATTAAAACGTTTATCTCAATTCTGTCTTAGTAAATACTTTGACCCCTCTGTTTTGTGTTTGCCATTACTGTCTGTAAGGTGTAGTTGGACTTTCTTTGGACTTCTAGTTCCCAAATAATGACACAGAGACTTTTTTTAAAAGTATAAATGCTTGGCCTTAGTTTAGGCATGTTCCCAAGTAGCTCTTGTAACTTAAATTAACCTGTTTACATAAATCTACATTCTGTCACATGGCTCGTTACCTCTTCTCCATACTGTATATCCAATTTCTCCATGTCTTGCTGGCAAATCCTGCTTCTCTTCTTTTCTGAGTTCCTTTCTCTTCCCAGAAGTCCCGCCTAGCATCTTCTGCCTAGCTACTGGCCATTTTGCTTTTTACTAAACCAATCAGAAGTTACCTTGGCAAAGATACATCTTCACAGCATGCAAAAAGATTTTCCCACAACAGTAATGTCATAAGGACTCTGACATAAAGAGTGGGTTACTCCTAAGATGAAGTCATAATAATGTCTCATTATGGGACTTCACAATGTGTGCCCTGGGTGGCTATATCCTGCTGTTACCTCTTCCTGTTTTTTCTCCACTTTCTGTCTGTCATAAAAGGAACAGCTTTCTTGACATGTTTCCACTACTACTCTCTGTCTTCCCACAGTCCTACAATCTGTGGGATTTAATCTGCAGGTTGAAATCTCTGTATTTAGGAGCCCTTCTCCCTTGTGTTGTGTCTGGCAGGCATTTTGATCACAACGATGAGGATTCTCACTAACACAAGGACAATGCAGCATGTTCTATGCCATTTCTTAAATAGGATGTGTGCTTCATCTCAGCCCAGCCATCTTTGCACTGCCATGCCTTATTCAGAAGCGATAAACCTCTCGATTAAAGAGGAAAACATTCTGTATTATCTAATATTATGAAGTCTTACTCGGCATCAATGCTCTTTGCTTATTCCTTCATCCTTAAATTAATTGTTTTACCTCTAGGTGTCTAGACAATAACATTACGGTTGAGCTAAGTAATTGCCTAAGATAATTGCACTTAAGTAGCAATTAACTCTCCTAGTTGACATGTGATTGTAAACAATTGTCAAGTTTATTAACTGATCACAGTGTTGTCTTCCACAGGAGACAACAAAATTTTCAAGGCGAAAAGATGGCCCAGAGGCAAGAGGAGCTTTTAAGAGAGAACCATGGGCAGGGGTTTCCCTCTGTTGTGTGATAGTTTACCTCAAGAGTTACCCTTAATCCTTTATATTTTTATAAAAAATAAATTATATAAATTTGTACATATTTCTATTTGGACACATAATTTTGATAAGAATCTAGCAAATAACCTCGTCACAGATGGGTCTGAGAAGTAAAATCTCAATGGGTATAGCTTCCTCATAGGAGACTTCAAAGCACCTCCCACAGTGACACACTGCCTCCATCAAAGTCACACCTACTTCAACAAGGCCACACCTCCTAATAGTGCCACCCCTTGTGGGAGACATTTTCCTTCAAACCACCACACTACCTAACACAAAACTGCATCAACTCGGTGTATCTTCACTTCTGCACAAATAGGATTAGGCAGATTTCACAATGCTTGTGCAAATGGACCATCAGGTTTCTCTGTCACGGTGCTTTATCGTCGTGGGTAGTGGGAAAAGAGACAGAAAATATGCCCTCACCTGACGCAGCAACATAACCTGCAAACTGATGGAATTCCTACAGCTCTTCCTGAGTGATCGACACAGGCATCGGTGTTCTGCGGTCGAGAGGCTCTTATATAGTTTTGCTCTCATAGTCTGTGGAATGATGAGAACTGTGATTGACAGTCTGACCGGATCCAGAATCAGCTAGGAGCGAAGCTGCTAGGCACACCGTGAGAGATGTCCCTTGAGTCGCTTATCTCAAACAGGAAGGCCCACTCTAAACGTGGCCTGCATCTTCCAGATGAAAGGGATTTTGCTCTGCCTCCTTGCTGGCAAGTGCTGCTGCTGCTCCTGCCTCTGGTATTCCTGCTGTTTGTGCTACATTCCTCTCCTGCTTTCCTCATCAGCTTCTTCAGGCTTTTGAGTGGTTCTCCAGGAATCTTCCAGGCTCCAGGAGCAGACTAAGACTGCTGGGGAACCCAGTCCCATGGCCAGAACAGCTACTGGCTTCACAGTTTCTTCCCCATGAAGAAGCCATGGTTAGACCATTCGTTGAAAATATTCATTATAGCTGGGTTACCACCAGCTATAATGGTGCATGTCTTTAATCCCAATATGTGGGAGGCAGGAGGATCTCTGTAAGTTAGAGGCCAGCCTGGTCTACAGAGTGAGGTCCAGGAGAGCCAGAGCTAAACAGAGAAACACTGTCTTGAAAAACAAGCAAACGAACGAACAAAAAAAAATTCGTTATTGTGATTCTCTTTCTCTGGAGCATGGGTTAACAGCATCTAAGTACCTCCAAGGA